ACCCGAATTCCGAACGCGTTTGAATGTTCGAAGATTGTGTGTCATTAAAATCCGGTTTTGAATAGTACATCGCGTATATTGGAATAGTTTAGGTCTTTTTGTACAAGCCCTCTCTCCCCTCTCAGGCTCTTTTAATAATTCGTTGTATAATAGAGATGGAATAGCGTACATAATTTGAAAATTATCTACGCTATTTCTATTATACATTGAAATGTGAAAGAGACAAAAAGATATTTGCTCGAAAATTTTGATATTGATGACTGAATTATGTTATCATTGAAAGTTAAATTTATACGCGTCAATATTCTATAAATCGTAGAATAGTATAGTACCAAATCTAAAAAAAAACATTGAATATTTTGCGTCAGCAATCTCTCTTGTATTGGAATTTATTTGACGAGTAACATTATTTACAGGCCGATTTTTTGCCCCTTTTCACGCGTGGGGGAGATCGCCTTCCTCTTCGAACGCGAAGTACATTACCATGTAAATCATAACTATCGGGGGATGAAGTTGCGAAAGCGGGGGCGGGAGATGAGAAAGGGGTTCGTTTAGACCGGTCGGGTCGGCGCCACACAAGACGGGCGAAAATTCGACGGTTCGCTCGTAAAGCAGTTAAGTGCCATGAAAAAAGCGAGCGCGCGTGTGCACACGATCGTTCTGTAATCGCGTTCGTTGTACTTAGGGTGTTCGAGCGTTTTTACGACGAAACGAATCACCGACCGGGAGGCCAACGCGAGTATTATGGGGGATCAGAGAAGGGAAACGCGTGATTGAGCGGACAACGAATTATTTAGGCGAATCTACTTGCATCGGTAAAATTTAATCATTTTCTTTGTCTCGTATTGTTCGATTATATCGATATTAAATAAAGAGAGATTAAAAAACTAGAATCGCTTTTTTCGCAATACATGATATTACATGTTATATCAAAATAGAATGGAATCACGATTCTCTCTCTGTCTCTTTTTTTTATACGCGAAATATAGATATTTGTTTTTATGTTATGGTATATTGTGTAGTAAAAGTTTGTATTGTATTTATTACAGTAGTTAAATTCGTTGCAGAGACTAAACAAACTTTTATCATGAAAATACATGTATCGAGCGAATATTATTATTCTCGCTGTTTAAATATATAAATATGAAAATTATATTATTTTATTGTAATATTGCTGCATTTTTTACGATGCATAGTTAAAAAAAATAACAATTTTATTCTGCGCAAAATTCTTTCACGAATGAATTTCATTCATAAAGATTGTTTCGAAAATGTACTTACAAATCTTGAAAAAGCTATTCTTAATATATAATATAAAAAATTACTACGGATATTAATATAAATTAAATTAATCTCTAATATTAATTAAATTAAATATCTAAACTTAGGTTATATAAAAAATCTTTACGCATTCTTATACATCAGCCGAAAATTTAATGTGTTTACTGTGCAATATGTGAAATCGGAAACGTCGCGATTGCCGGCTCCGGAGTGAAATTCATTTTATTTATTTTTTAAGAATCTTTTTAATTAAAACTGCATTGGAGTAGGAGGGGAGGCAAATTCCATCAACACGTGCCATACGATTAAAAAAAAAAAAGGGAAGAGATTTTTCTAGCGGGCAATCGCGTGTGCGAATGATATTTACAATGAATTTCGTTGCGCTTTCGATCCATTTTGAATGTTGCTCTCACTGTCGTCTGGACCGATGGTGCAAACAATCGTTTCAGATTCAATTAGCGTCTCGAATTCACGCGTGGGCGTGGTGGACACGCGCTGCATTCGCGCTAGGCGTTCCAGCATTTCTCGTACCCGCGGCTATAATTCCATGAATCGAACGCAGCTCGGTTGGTGGCTTGGAAAGGTTACGATTATTAACAAGATATTACCGAGATATTTTCTGCATCTGCATATATTTATCAACGCTGCAGTGAAAACGTTACTTTATAAAATTTTGCGATATATTTCCTTTTATCTTTTAATTTCTGAAAAAAATATTCCGATGCTATTAAAGAGAGCATTAAACGATTACTATTATTATTTTTCAGAAGGCAAAATAACACATTTAAATTAAAAATAAAACTATTGCGTAAGTTATTTTCTTTTTTAGATTAAAAATGATTAATGTGAAATGTTTATATGTGTTAATTAAAATCCCCTATATTTAAAATATTTTATTAATTTTAGAATATATATATATTTAATATT